CCCAGCCACCCATGCTGGCTGGGGAATTCTGGGAGTTGAAGTCCACACATCTTCAAGTTGCTATGGTTGAGAAATCCTATTCTATAAAGTATAAATCTTTAAAGGGCATTCTATTTTTTTAACTAGCTGCCTAACACAAATATTAAACTACAATGGGGGAAAACACATTTTCTTTACAGTTTCCTGTTCTGCCTAATATTAATAATTAAAAAACTCTCCTTTGCAATAACTTGTCAAGCAATATACCCAAAAGTAAACTTGGAAGGCATACAAAATGAGCAAAACAATATAAAAAAAAGTATGAAAAGAACGATCACTTACTAGATTCTGTTGTCATCTGAAGTAAACTGTCAATGGCATTGGAAAGGAGGCCTTTCCTTGATGTTCTCAGGTGAGTCAATATAATGGGCACAGCTTGGTAGTCCAAAAATAAGACTTTCCCTTCATCTGTCTTCAGATCAATGCAAAGTGAATCAAAGGCCTGTGCCAAATAATCAGCTAAAAGATGCATTAGAATTTAAATTTAAATTAAAATAAAATTTAAGATGTACATCATTGTTTCTAGTTACCTATAAAGGCCACCACTAATGTGCATAAGATCCTACACAATGTGCTATATCCAAGTTTTTAAAGTATGCCGCTTACTAAATGAATTATTAAATGAACGTTTGCTCATTACGTGTGTCAAGCAGCAGCATATTAAGAAAGTTGACTTGAGGCAAATTACGCTCACAAAACCCTGTTATGTTTTATTAAACACAACCACTTCAACAGCTACATAAACTTTACACTTACAGCATGCCCAGGCTATTTTAAAATGATTAGAACCACCTTTTACAGTAACAAAATCCTTGCTCGCTGGAGCCAATGGTTTTTTTGCCCGTGTTCCTTTTGTCCAGTTTACCCCCCCACCTTAGGACCCCAAATTTCCAGGACAGGATGTGATTTAGTTACTATACATACAGCACAATTCTCTTTTCCTTCTTATTCATAATGGAGGATGTTTTGAGAGGACCAATATTCCAAATTTTAGAACTGACCAGATGGCAAAGTCAACTAGTTAAGGAGCAGCACTCCAACCTCAGGTAAGCGCAGGAAACAAGCTTTCCCAGAGTAACACATGGGACAGCACAGGCCCAAATTGTGTGACAGAGATAGCCTCTAGTGAACCTCTGGCCTTGCACTTTAAGCCAATAAACTGCATGTGAAATGATTTATAATCCTTAATCCCAGGGTAGGCAATCTTTTTGAGCCAAGAGGCATATCTGAAACGTGGCCTGCCTACTTTGAGTCCTCTCATAAAACAGCTGGATGAAAGATGCCTCTTCACCATGATGTGACAGGCGAGGATGGTATCACCCCAAACAACATGCTTTCTAGCATCCCCAGCTTTTTTTTTTTTATGTGTGGACTTATTTCCAAGCAAAGCTTTGGGTTGCAGCCACCACTATTTATTTCTCTTGAAGTATTTATGGGCCTATGTGAGTACAAGAGATATTTGTGTAAATAATGATGTTAGAGAATTTGGCACAGCATGCCAATTTTTAATTTAAAATGTCTAAAGCAGAGACTCAGGCGAGAAGCCTGGAAGAAGGACCTAATGGGCCCTTTGCTGAATATCCCTGGTTTACAGACCATTTAAGGCAGTGATTTTCAAACTTGACAACTTTAAGATGTGTGGACTTCAACTCCCATGCTGGCTGGGGAGTTGAATTCTCGATGTTGAAGTCCACATATCTTAAAGTTGCCAAGTTTGAAAAACACTGCTTTAAAGTGATCAATGCTCAGTAATACTCATAGAGAGAGGTTTTTGGGGGGTTGTCTACAAGTCAGGGTAGGTTTTGGTTTTTTTGGGGTGCCTTTGAGTCAGTGTTGACTATTGGTGACTGCCTGGACTAGTGAGATTTTTGGAAGTGGTTTGCCCTTGCCCTCTTCCTAGGGCTGATAGAGAGTGACTGGTCCAAGGTCACCCAACTGGCTTATGCTCAAGGCAGGACTAGAACTCATGGTCTCCTGGTTTCTAGCCTGATGTCTTAATTACTACACTAAACTGACTTTCTACTCAGAGGAGTAGATGTAATGAAACCAATGACAGTTCAGTCACAATTGATTTAAGCCCCACTTATTTCCATAGATCTATTCTAATTCTGATTACATCTGAACCTAGCCCACTTTGTCAGATAGAAGATGCTTGTTTCAGTTTCAGAGATTATAAGTATAGCTATAAGCACAAGTACTTTGCATTCAGTTTTAATTATAATCAAGCTATTCTTTTAAAAAGACAGACATTTAAAAAAGATAATAAACTTTTGTCATTCCTCCATGAGAAAAAATGCATTTAGAACAAAACTGTAGACAATGAAGCCTAAAAGATGAGAGAATATAGGAAATTTTGTAGTAGAATTCTTGTAGCATTATGATTCCATGGTCTATTTCTCTCCTTTCATCCTTTTAACAGTGTAGGCTGCACTCTACAAATGTAATAATTTAAACATACTGCAGGATTTTCTGGTTTTTGTTTCAACACGGCTTGTTCTCTGGAACGGATATAATAAAGTAGAAAAAGATCAATAGATGTTTAGATGTTTGAAGAATGCTAAGACTCCTCTACTCTGAATACACATGACTGTGAATTTTTCACTAGCCACTGAAAGAGTAACTTATTGTTCAAGGGTTATGTGAAAGGTTTTTTTGTATATATCCTTTGCAAAAGAAGTTAGAAGTCGCTTTGTTAAATGTTTGTATATGTATTTTTTCCTCTGTTGCTTTTCTCTTTTTCTGTTTTCTAATCTACAGTTCTACTATTTTTCTCCTTTTGCAATTCTTCTATTTCTCATGCTTTTATTGTAATCTTTTTTTCTGTCATTTTTAATTTGTATATTATGAAAAATAAAAATAATTGGAAATGTGAAGAGTAACTTATTGTTGTATTGTGCTGTATTTAACCTTCAGTGAAACAAAACAAATCCATATAGTAGCTTGCTAACATCAATCTGAATCATAAAATGTTGAGAGAGAAAACTAGGAGCAGCAAAATCCTACAGATGTTTTCTAAAAAAATAAATCCCATGGTGTTCAGGGTAGGTTATTAGTTAGTACGTTTAAATCTATACCCTAAAATAGCAAATAGGTAATAAGTCTACTCACAGTGAATTTTCCACTGAAAAATACTGGCATCTTAACCCAAACTACACTTATTCTGGACATATTTCAAATACTGTAATATGTATGTAGGTTAATAATGTAATATTGTTTTCTTGCAAGACTATATAACTCAAAAATGGCAAAACCTTACTTTGAGTGCCCCCTACTGTATCATGTCTTTGAAACAATACATTGTTTACTAATTAGGTTTCAGTGCGTTTAATTTAATTCATAATGTACACACATTTCACAATTTCATCTGAGAATGGAATTTTGGCATTTATTGAGGCTTCCCCCCTCCCCCCCATGATGGACTGAGGGCATCCTTCACTGCTCACACTTGCTTTAATACTTGCTTTAACTGACTGAAGCTGAGTGTTTGCACAGTTTAACCTCAGTAATCAGGGCAGTTCAGCTTCATTTATGACGGCATGGGGATCAAAGAACTTTGAGTAGATATGGTCTGCTCAGCATAGGATTCAGGGCTAGAGCAACCTCTGTAACAGCCTGTATTTTGACAGTATAAAACCTGGACTCTCAGGCAAGGTCCAACAACAGCTAAACATCCTTCTCCTGAACCTGACCACATTATTTGGGCGGATTGTGGGAAATTTAAATCAGAACATTCCTGCTGCTTAATCCACTGCAGCTCAGGCAGAAGCCGTGGGTGTAATTTACAACAGGCTGAGCAGTTACAGTCACAAGTGTCTCTATGTCTAAATGACCTAGCCCGTTTTTATCAGAACTGAGTCAAACAGAAATTGCCTGTCGGTAGGGCAAGGGACAGCCACTAATGAAAGGGTGAGTTATACAGCTCCTCTGAGAGAAACAAACTTGGGGTGTCTCCCAGCAATGGCTTATTAAAAGGGTAATAAAGTTTCAATGTCTAGAATAACTTATATTTGAAAAATAAATCTGATTTTTTCCAACTCTATTTGAAAACCATTTTAGACTAGAATTTATTCATGGAATTGTGCCACATTCAAAATTTGGATTTTGGCGTTTATTTTTTAACTTGACATATGAAGTACATATAATTTATAGTATTGTCTTAATGTATTGTTCATTATCTATGATTTGCCTCTCCTTTTCCTTTAATGACTTGAACTGTGTTAACCAAGTACCTTTAAGGTTTAATAGATATTAGTTACATTTTGATTAGTACTGTAGAACATTCATTCTGAATCATTTCAAAGGACTCATTCCAAATTCATTAGCACAGCCCTAGTGATGGCAGATTTTTCTCATAAGCTTATATTTCTCTGGATGGTTGAACTTTGAAAACGAAACCAAACTACTGTGCCATTGAGTTTCAAAATCTATTATGTAACCTGCTGTCACTCTGGTAAGAAGATTAGATTAGATTAGATTAGATTAGATTAGATAGATATACAGTGCTACCT